AATATTTTTATAAATTTGTTCTTTTCTATTGTGCAGAACCTGAGAGCCTACAAGTCATGGGGAAGTTGTTGGAGAACAGGACTTGGGTAGGTCTAGACCACAATACAGGATCCTGAGCAAAACTGGTTGTTATGCCACAACTTTAGGATTTACTAAAGGTGATATTATCCAGGGAGAGTGTTAGGCAGGCAGTGATGGGGCCAGATTTTTATGTCAGGCAATTTTGTTGTGCCAGTAGGAGGAAGGTGATTCTCTTGTTCTTCAGGGCTAATTGCCACAGGAACTATCAAAACTCAAATAGCGTGTGTGTGTGTGGGGGGGGGGGGTTTGTGGCTCAGCAGTAGAGCACTTGCCTAGCACAGGCGAGGCTCTGGGTTTCATCCTCAGCACCACATGAAAATAAATAAGTAAAATAAATGTATTGTGTCCAACTACAACTAAAAAATAAATATTAAAAAAACTCAAATAGCAATGAATCCCAATATTATATAAAATTATAATGCAACAATAAAAATATGGGAAAAACCCTCAAATAGACTAACAGTTGTGATGTGAAATCACATAACAAAGTCCCCAAGTCAAGGCAGAGGCAAATTGTAAATATGTTTAAAGAAGTTAAGTGATGATAAGAAAATATGAGAAATAAAGAAGTTCAGTGATGATAAGAAAATATGAGAAATAAAATGTATTAGAGATCATTCTTAGGAGCCAGGAAAACTTGGAGAGCCCAGAATCATTTTTTGTGCCCCTCTTCCTCAGCAGTTTCCAGAAGAGTAATTTTGTGAGCTTTCAAAATTATATTCATTTTAGGGACTGGGCTCAGTGGTAGAGTACGTGCCTAGAATTTCATGCAGCCCTATTTGATTCCCAGAAGGCACCCTCATTCATCTCTCTCTCTCTCCACACACATACTTTTAAGTTGTTCTTTAAGTGACAGTTTGAACTGTTCATAAAAGGGTGTGTCATGAATAACCCCAGAAGATTTGTGATGATGAGCTACTGTATCGACATTGTTTGGAGCCCTATTTTCAACTGTGGTTTCTAAACTTAAATTCCTACAGAAATAATAACTGGAGGTTGCTAGGGGGGTTGCTATGGGTCCTCACCTAGCCTAACTGAGTCTGGGACACCTGGCACAGCAGACCTCTCCTGTTATTTACAAACAACTCAGCAGAGTGGGTATGTGCCTAGGAGTGCTCTGTGGGTCACGCCCCCTTCCTTAGGACAGACCTTAAGGTAGAAGCTGGTTTCTCAAAAATGGAGTCACATCAGTTTCTCAGAACTTGTACAAGGAATGTCCACCACCAGTCAGCAGTAAGAGGGTTCTCCTTCCCTTCAGGTGTCAACAGAATCCAAGCAGGGAACCTAGACTTCTCTCCCCACCCAGCACTAATGAGGCAGTTTCTTTCGTCCCTGTCAGAGCAGTGTCAGAGGAAGCCAGCAAACAGAATAAACAAGACTCAAAGTCTCAGAATGTACAATATATATGCATTTCCTTCTGGTTCTTTTCTCTCATCATATTCTAGACAGTTTTTGTGTTAGCTTTTCATTGCTGTGACCAAAATACCTGACAAGAACAACTTAGAGGAAGAAAAGTTTATTTTGGCTCACAGTTTCAGAGGTCTCAGTCCATAGTTGGCTGACTCCATTGCTTTGGGCCTGAGATGAGGCAGAACATCATGGTGGAAAGGCTGGTGGGGAAAAGCTGCTCGGCTCTAGGCGCCTGGAGGCTGAGAGCAAGAGAGGAAGGGGCTAGGAATAGGTTTAGTCTGAGGCCACGCCCCCAGTAACCTACTTCCTCCAGGGATGTCCTACCTACTTACAATTACTACCCAGTAGACCATTCAAATATTACATCCATCAAATGAATTTATGCACTCAAGAGGATATACGGCTCTCATAATCCAATCTTTTCACCTCTGATCATCCCTGCATTGCCTAACACATGAGAATTTTGGGGGACATTAAAGATCCAAACTATAACACCTTCTTACATCAATATATCTGTAATAACCTCATTGGAAATCAGATTGGGAAAAAAAGATGGTATATCTGTACAGTGGAATTCTATACACGTGTCATATAGCTGTACTAAGGTATTCAATCTAGTCCCTATTGATGGGCATTGTTATGGTTTGGGTCTTAAATGTTCCCCAAAGACCCATGTGCTAAACGCTTGGTCACCCATCTGTGGTGTTCCTGGGGGGTGGGGTAGAACCTTTAGGTGGTGGTTGAAGCCAGATTTACAGATAGGTAGTTAGTGTAGTTAGGTAAATCGGTCTAATATTGAGTAAGATAAAGAAGATGGAGACCATTATAGAGAATGGAGTCCAGGAAACTAGAGCAGCATTTGGGGAAATTGAAATGTTACTGTCCCCAAGGCCCAGAGCCCATCCTAAGGAAATGTTAATGAAGCAGCTCCCAGCAAACAGGGAGATGCTAATCAAAAGCTGCCCAGATTACTCCTTCAGCCCACCGATCCCCCACCTTTTGGGCCTTCCCACCTGCATTCTATCACTGCAAGATATTGGGAAACAAAGGACAGGAGTGTGGGAAAGCTGAAAGAAGACATTAGCTATAAAAAAGGGAAGACCTCCTCCTTCCACGGATTCTGCCTTTTGGGTTCCCTTCTTCCTCGGGGAGAAGTCTTTTCTGTCACAGTGGGACCTACTGGAGGCTACCCCTTGATGGAGATGTTGCAACCAGTCCCCTCCCCTGTCCTCTCTCTTTGCTTCCTGGTTGCAGTGAGGTGGGAAGCTCTGCTCCACCATCCACTCCCTGCCATGATGTTCTGCCTCACCAGACTCCAAAATGATGGAGCCAACTCATGCAATCAAAGGATCCTTCTGCCTCCCAGGTAGCTTCGACTACAGGCATGTGCCATCATGCCCAGCTGCATAGATAGTTTTAAGGAACTCAAGTTCCATTTCTCAAAAGTTCCACTTTCTCAGTGGGCTGTTTCCTAAAGCTGATTCCTGGGAAAGTGTCTGTGCTCCGTTTGCTGTTCTCCCCAAAGAAATGCATCCTGTAATCTCACTGGCACCCACTTCCCCTATTCTTTGTTTCTATCAAGTATTAAATTTAGATGAACTTTAAGGGAATATGTACTGAATCTACTGTAAATAATGCACATAACAGCAATCATTAATATACATAAAATCCAGTAAGATGTTGGACATCTTCATTTTATTGGGAGTAGCTCTTCTTTCTTAGATGTTGATAAGCTCTTCTGGTTCTGTCAAATTCCTATTTATAAATATAACTGATTTTTTTCTATGAGATTAAATTGTTAATCTACATATAAGAGTTCACAAACATCTCTCTGTTCATCTGTCATGAATATATATACAGGTCTTTGATCATAGCCAGTGGGATGAGCTTAAATGCTACAATCCCCACTTTAATATAATTGTCATTTTTTACTCCAAAAACTTTATCTAATTTTAGATGTGTAAAACAGGCACCTCTAAGTGTAAGAGTGAGTGGTATAATAATCACTTAAATCTCAGTAGAACCTTCCAGATATTGAGAAAGTAAATGGCTGGGTAAATATTCCTTTTGAAACTTGAGTCCCATTATATATATATATATATATATATTTATATATTTATATATTTATTTATTTATTTATTTTTTAGTTTTCGGTGGACACAACATCTTTATTTTATTTTTATGTGGTGCTGAGGATCGAACCCAGCGCCCGGCGCATCTGTCAGGTGAGCGTGCTATCGCTTGTGCCACATTCCGAGCCCCAGTCCCTTTGTTTTTAACATTATGGAGCATGAACCTGAGCTGCTGGAGAACTGATATAATTTTTTCTTTTTGGTACTGGAGATTGAACACAGGGGCGCTGAGCTGCGTTCCTAACCCTTTTTTTTTTTTTCATTTTGAGCTCCTGGGATTACAGGCGTAAATCACAGGTGAAAATTTATTTTTAAAAATCTTCTGACTATCCAGGCTCGGTTGGGCACGACTATAATCCCAGCAGCTTGGGAGGCTGAGGCAGGAGGATCATGAGTTCAAAGCAATCCTCAGCAAAAGTGAGGCCCTAAGCAACTCAGTGAGACCCTGTCTCTAAATAAAATACAAAGCAGGGCTGGGGGTGTGGCTCAGAGGTTGAGAGCCCCTGAGTTTGGTCCCTGGTACCCCCCCCCCCCCCCCCCCCCAAAAAAAAGATAATAGTTTACAATCCATACCTTCCTCATGAAAATTAAACAAAAATTATATGTGAGACACGTGGAAATTCTAGTTCAAGAAATAAATGATATAAAATTTCTGACTTACTTACTAGAAGTAAATGCCAGGATTTACTCTATTTTATAATATGGATGGTGGTAGATATCAAATGGCTACGGTAATTATAGTCCCTTGGAGCGCAGTGGTGCAGCTTGTAATCCCAGCTACTTGGGAGGCTGAGGCAGGAGGATCATGAGTTCAAAGCCAGCCTCTGCAATTTAGATTAAGCCCTAAGCAGCTCAGCCAGACCCTGTCTTTAATAAAATATTAAAAAGGACTGGGGATGACTCTCAGTGGTTAAGTACCCCTGGATTCAATCCCTAATATAAAAGATATTTCATTGGATGCATAGAGAAGAGTGATTAATGGTTTATTTTAAAATATCAATATTGACAATACATTAGGAATTACATATTTTTCAACTCCATGAAGAATTGCTCAGAGGAAGTGTTTTCAAAAAAAAAAACACGAAACTTCTTTTACATATATGAGCGAATATCTTAGAAATTTCTCACCAGCCACTTGCCTAAATTCGGACCCTACACAATGCTGGGCAGGAAAGGAATACAGACATTTCATGCACTTATCCCTAACCCTTGTCATGAACAAATCCGAATAGAATCAAACACCTTCCGGGTTCTCACGAAACCTGTAATAGCCATGTGCCACCCATAGGTGGCACACGCGAGCGACCCCGGGTAGTGCGGGGGGGCGGGCCGTCCGAGCACGCCTCTCGGTCGCCCTGTGGTCTCTCTGGGCTTCCGTTGAGCACGAGCAAGATGGCAGCCTCCGAGACGGTTAGGCTACGGCTTCAATTTGATTACCCTCCTCCAGCTACCCCGCATTGCACGGTCTTCTGGCTTCTGGTCGACCTAAACAGATGCCGAGTCGTCACGGATCTCATCAGTCTCATCCGCCAGCGATTCGGCTTCAGTTCTGGGGCCCTTCTAGGTCTCTACCTGGAGGGGGGGCTCTTGCCCCCGGTCGAGAGCGCGCGCTTGGTGAGGGACAACGATTGCCTCAGGTGCGCGCGGCGCGGGGAGACGGCGGCTGGGCGGGCGGCTGGCCGGGGACGCGCCTGCGCACCCGGGGTCGCCTCCGGCCGGGTTTGGGTGAGACTGGGAAAAAAAAAATGCAAATGCATGAACCCTGGAGATCTAGACTGGTCTAGCCAAGGCTGGGGCTGAGGAATCTGCATCCTAACTAGTGTCGTTCTCCGGGAGATTCTGATTTTCAGGTGAACCAAACTTGGAGCAGCTCTCCTGCTCCTGAACAGGGCAGGTGCTTCTTCCAGCCTTGATTTAGGGAACCCGCACCCAGCCAGGCACTGTGTTCCGTGCACATGGTGGCAAATGTCTGGGAGCCTGGCCTTCCTTGGCATACTCTCAGGGTCATCTGCCCGGAGACCAGACGGAGAAAAAAACAGTCCTGTTTTCTTCCTAACGCTCTGGTTGTCCCACTTTAGTTCCTGTGCAGTATTCGCTGAGACTTCTGGTGGGCGACATTCTGTGTCTCACTAGGCGTTTGGGGTTCACCCAAATAGGTGTTTGGATCCTTCTCTTTGTGCATCAGGACACACAAGAATAATTTGAAATATGCTTTTGGAAATTTTAGAAAATGGTAGGTGAGTATCCAGGGGCAGTTGTAGTATGAATTGCCAATACCTCGTTGTCTCAGTCAGATAGTGAGATGTGATCATTCCAGTTCAGATTCTCATTTTGGACTGATTTGTCACCACCACCTCATTAAGCCTAAGCTACAGTGAATTTCGGAATTGTGAGCCAGGCTACATCCTGTTGCTTGCCTTTTGTTGTTGAAAATTGTTTTCCCCGAACCATGTCAGATTCACAAGATTTCTTCATAACATCAGAGAATTTAATTTGGAATAATGACTATATCTTTGAGTGTCTCTTAAGTCAGGAATGCTATGACTTATTAACAATATTCAGCTGTTTCAAATGACAATTTGAAATAGCCCAAATTTCAAATAATGTTCTTTTCTCTTTTTATTGACTGTAATAGGCCTCCATTTGCTCTGAAATTTAGGGACCAATTAAATATTACAGATTAAGGACTGTATCCCCTCCTATTAAGTTTACTTTCCCAACTGTCCCCTGCCTAATGAATTAATAACTTACTGATTGCTAGCTAAGTACAGTTATACTTCACTTAATGAATCATCTAGGAATTACACTGTTTATAATGAAGCTCACAATGTCAAAAACAATGGTGAAAGTTGTTATAAGTAATAATTAGAGCACAATGGCAGGCAGATTCCTTCTAAATGCCTCAAATGCCCAAATGCATATGATGAGAAATCCTCTACAGGGGCTGATAACAACGTATTTCAGTGGTAGAGCACTTGCCTAGTATGTGCAAAGCCCTGGGTCAAATAACCAGCACTTGGGGGGAGGGGGAACAGGGGGACGGACTTCTGTAGCTGGCTTCAATGATAAATAGGGACAATCCTGTAGGAGGAAACTAAATTTGGGAATGTTTTGTTTCATGCTCCCCGAATCATTGTCTTCCCCTGACAAATTCACTTTTTTTTCAGAGCTACAAAGGAAACATATTCTCTGTTGTCAGTTACCTAATATTGTTGAAGTATACCCAAATACGTAGCTTTGTGCTTCTGAATACTATCTTCTTGTGTGGTGCAGTCAGTTAGATTGAATAGTTTGATCAACTTATACTGCTAAGTACAGAAGATGATTGAGAAAAGAAAGATCAAGCCAGGTGCAATGGCACATTCCCATAATCCCAGCAACTTGGGAGGCTGAGGTAGGAGGACTGAGAAATTGAGCCACTCTGGTATTTAGCAGTATCCTGTTTTAAATTTTATAAAAATTAAGAAGTCTGGGGCTATAGCTGTGGTTAGAACACTTGGGTTCCATCCCCAGTACTGCACCTGCCCCCACAAAAAGGAGAGAGATCCTGGAACAAAAGTGGTCAGGGAATTGAGCAGTACCTTGAAGTTTGGGCACATATTAGATGGCTAAAGTGCAGTTGTAGAGGCAAAAAAAAAAAAAATCAGAGGAGACAAGCCTGCTGATCAGAAGAATTCTGTTGGACGTGCTGGGGAATTGTTAAGTCTGATGAGGAAAGGTAGAGCCAGGTTGTGAGAATCCTGAGAAATAATCTTTGAGGCCCCTGTGTGCCATTGTCTTTTCCTCATAATTCATTCTCTTAAACCCCAGGAATCTGACTGGACATCTGCACCCAGACTGTTGACAGTGAGCTCCTGAGGTTGGTCTTTAGGTCCCATGAGAAGAGGAAGTGCTCCTACTTGCTTGGAGACCCCTGTGTTAGTTTGCCAGGGCTGCTATAACAAAATACTGCAGATGGATGGCTTCAGCGACAATGATTTCTCATGATATTGCAGATTTGGTTTCTTCTGAGGCCTCTCATTAGTTTGTAGAAGGCATCCTTCTCCCTATGTGCTTACATGGGCTTTTCTCTGTGTGCATTCCTGGTATTTTTCTTTGTCCAAATTTCCTCTAAGGAGACCAGTCAGATTGGATCAGGATCCACCCTAATGGCCTCATCTTGACCTAATCACCTCTTTAAAAGTTCTGTCTCTTCATACAGTTACAAGAGATACTGGGACTTAGGGCTTCTACATATGAACTTTAAGGGGCCACAGTTGAGCTCATAACAGTTCCCGAAGAGGGTTTCACAGAGGTTTGGTTGCAGCAACAGGTTTGGACAGTGACCAGGTAGAAGAGAGCTTTCAGTTGAAGTCATACTGTGAGGAAATAAAGTGCACTCCCTCCTCTCTCACTCCCTCCTCTCTCACTCTTTCAAATGCCTACAGTATTTGATCAAATGTTAGAAGTGGGTTCTCATTTCATATTCCTGTAGTCGGTACAAAGTCAAACCTCTCTAAAGCATCTATGACTCTGTGACTCACAAACTGTGTGCTTTTGGTCAGGTAACTTTTTACCTGTCTGAAGGTGGCAATGTGGCTGCTGCCACCAGCTGCGAGACAGGAGGGAGGCTGCAGGGAACTGGTGGGATCCAAAGGAGTGAAGCTTTCCTATTTCACCTTCCTTGTTGAATTTCATGTTCGGTTGATGAGACAAGTTCATCAAAAATCCACCAACGTCTCCTTCAGAGGACTAACAGCGTTCATTGTATTAATGAAAATTAGAACTAACATGGATAGCACTTGTTTTGAGCCAGGCATGCTTTAGATATATAATAGTTCATTTGAGTACTATAATTATTATCATTATCCTCATTTTTATAGATGAGAAGGGCTGAGGTAATGGCTTTTTAAAAATTAATTACAGTGGCAGAAAGAGGATTTTTAACCCAGGCAATCATTTTGACCTTGGTAAGATGACAGTATAAGAAAGTAGGTGTCAGGTGGGGCAGATGGGCATGTCTATATTTCTGTATAATAAAATCCTAGAAGCAAAATTACAAATATAAAAGGGAATATTTGCATTTTGATAATACCACCCATTTTTCCCTGCAAAGAGTTTGAATAAAAAGTAGAGGATATGTTTTAGAAGTTCCTTGAAATCAAATTTCTGTCATTGCTAATTAATTAACCCAGGTAATTCACTTCAGTTTATAAAAGAATAATTGCATTCACTTTTGTTTGTAGAAGACAGCTCCATTTGTTATCTGTAGTTCATATAGAGAAATGAACATTACTAAAGCAAGCATACCCCCTGTAATTTGAGGGCAGTGGCACATGCCTATAATCCCAGCAGCTTGGGAGGCTGAGGCAGGAGAATCCCTAGTTCAAAGCCAGCTTTAGCAATTTAGTGAAGCCCTAAGCAACTCAGCGAGACCCTGTCTCCAAATACTCTATAAAAAAGGGCTGGAGATATAGCTCAGGGGTTAAGCACCTATGGGTTTAATCCCTGGTACTAAAAAAAAGAAAAGAAAAAAAAAAAAAAAGGCAATCAAACAGACTTAAGGAGACCATTTCTTGTTCCCCAGGTGACATTTTGCCTCACTCTGTTCATATTTGTTCCTTGTGGGGAACAGTAGCTAGTGAGGCTGCAGTAATCAGTCAGATACCTATACACGCAGTGTCTTAAGGAGGAATAAGGGTCGGGTATGTAACTCAGTGGAAGAGCCCTTGTCTAGCATGCACAAAGCCCTGGGTTTTGTTCCCAGGACCACAAACAAAACAAAAAAATGGGTGAGGTGATGCTTTAGAAAGCATGATGGTGTTACCAGCTCCAGGGAAAAGTATGAATGCTGCCTAAACTGGGTGCAGCATTTGCTGTCTTGTATGTAGGGACTTAATAAACTATAATGTCCGAGCAGGAAGTTGAGTAGCTATTTGAAGTTTGGGGAAGAGTTTGGTCCTAATTAGTCATCTCACAATTGAAGCTTGAATCATAGCATTGCTAAAAGTTAAACAAATTAATAAAAAATGTCAAGGAAAAAAATCTGATATTTTGGAACTTATTCAATGTTAGATTCACAGGATGCCACACTAGATTGTGCCAGTTAAGAATGACTTCTTTGCTGTTAAATATTGAGGCCTTTAGAAGGGAATAGAGGGCTGGGGATGTGGCTCAAGCGGTAGCGTGCTCGCTTGGCATGCATGCAGCCCGGGTTCGATCCTCAGCACCACATACAAACAAAGATGTTGTGTCCACCGAAAACTAAAAAGTAAATATTAAAAAAAAAAAAAAATTCTCTCTTTCTCTCTCTCTCTCTCTCTCTCTCACTCTCTCTTTAAAAAAATAAAAGAAGAAGAAGGGAATAGAGAGGATATGTTTTTATAATATAAATCCCTGGTCATTCAGAGTTTTATTTCTGTCTTTATTTTCTCCTACTCGGTAGCTATTATTTTATCTTGATTTGTGGATTTCTAAATAGTTGTTTGTTGAAAAATGATTGAGGATTTTTCTCATTTACTACTTTGAGGAGGTAAATCAACAAGATTATTGGGCTTTAAAAAAATTAAGGAATGCGGATTGGGGTTGTGGCTTGGTGGTAGAATGCTTGCCTAGCATGTGTGAGGCCCTGGGGTTCGATTCTCGGCACCACATAAAGATAAATAAATAAAGGTATTGTGTCCATCTACAACTAAAAGATATTTCTAAAAAAATAAAGAATGCTTATACATATGCCCTTATTCACCAATTAACCCTAACCCCTAACCCTAACCCTAACCAATTATACTTTATTTTCAAATATGACTGTACCTTTCCCTGTTCACTCAGGATTAGCTATTGCCAGTTCATTGGGGAAAATTGCTATTCTATAATGAAATAATTTTGGATGCAGTGTGTATTAGTCCAGGTTCTCCAGAAAAACAAAACTGTTGCAGGATTTCTACACAGAGAGACAGGGCACCAGTGTTCCACAGGAAGCAGTGTTTATTTTGTGCCAGCACAGACTCAGCAGATTCACATCCAAAGGCCAAGTTTCGATTGCAGCAGGACTTCCTCTCCTCCTTTCCTCCCATTGCATATTATCCCTTTTGTCTCCCCTATATGGAAAAATACATTTTGCGTCGGTATTCTGTACTATAAAATCATAAAGAAGTTACCACACAGCTGTGCAGCCCCACCTTTCCTTTGTCTGGTGAATGCATATGTACATGGCTATTGAAGGCATCATGTTGGCTGACAGTCAAGCATGTACACACAGATCTGGCCTTGCTTTGCTGCTGTGCCTGTTTGGAGAGGGCTTCGCTTCTTCCACAAAACCAATAGGAAAAACACATGATTTAATATAAGGAATTAACTTACACAGTTGGGGAAGCTGAGAAATCTCAAGATCTGTAGTAAATAAGCTGGAGACCAGAGGGTTAGTCGTGTGATTCTAATCCAAGTCTGACTCTGAAGGCCGGAGAAGTCTGATATCCCAGCTTGAAGGGTCAGACAGAAAGCAAATTCTCTAAGGCCCTTTTGTTCTCTTTTGGTAATTAGTGGATTGGATGAGGCCAACCCACATGCGGAAAAGCAGTTTACATAGTCTTACAATTTATACGTTAATTTCACCCAGAATTACTCTCATAGACATGCCATGGACAAAAAATAATGCTTAAACAAATGTCTGGGCACCCATACCTCAGGCAAGTTGACACATAAAATTAACCATCACAAACTGTCATGCAATTTTATGGGCATCTGTCACTATTCCAGAGAACATAAATTGTGTAGTATTTCCTTAAGTTTAAACAAAAAATAATAATCAAATCTCATATTACTTCTTATTATTTTTAAGTATATATTTATTTTTAATTGTCAGTTATTGTACATATTTATAAGGAACGATGATATTGTAGTACATGTATACAATGTGTAATGATTTGATGAGGGTCACTGGCATATCTGTTACCTCAGGCATATGTCATTTCTTTGTGTTGGGAACATTCAAAATTCTCTCTACTAGCTATTTGGGAATATTTGTTAATTGTTGTCAACCATAGTTATCCTATGGTGCTATAGAACACTCTTCCCGGGATCTGATAATCACTATTATATTTTTTTATTTCTTTGAAATCAAATTTTTAGCTTCCAAATGTGAGAGTACATAGTATTTTTCTTTCTGCAGCTGCATTATTTTAATTAACAGAATGTCCTCTAGTTTCATTCATGTTGCTGCAAATGAAAGAATTGCATTCCTTTTATGACTGGTCAATTTTGCACTGCACACACATATCACATCTTCCTAATCCACTTATCTGTTGATGGGCACCTAGGTTGATTCCATATTTTGGCTATTAAAAATAAAATTTCATGTTTTAAAAAGCAACACATTCCAAAACAAAAATGTTTAAGTTAGCAATTATTACCTTTTAGGGTAGGTAACATACATGTAGTGAAAGATAATGAGTTTTGAGGCTAGACAGGTTTGAATTGCTTTCCTGCTACTTATTAGCTTATCAGCTGGGGATCTCGAGTAACTTACCTGTCTGAACTATAATTTTGTAGCTTGTGAAAAAAAAACAACAATGAAAAAACCTACTTTCTTGTGGTTTTTGATCAGAGAAAATGTGTAGAAAATATTTGAGACACGGTATTCAGTAAGTAAAACTGGCCTATGAAAGTTGACCATAAGTCGTGCTATATGGGCCATTTTGTCAAAAAGAGCCTTTGTTTTCCTTAAAACATGACAGTTTTTCACTGCTGGTAGTGACCATTTGCAGAATCATCTCAATGTATAGCTACATCCTAGAGTCATACTTATGAATTGCTCACTCTAGCTTTCTCTCTTGTTTTTTTTTTTTTTTTTGACAGAGTTAAGTTAGAAGAGAGAGAAATTCCTGAGACTTCTGTAGTAGTCAGTAATGGAGATGATATTCCTTTACCATCTAGAAAAGCAAAGAAGCGGGCTTATAAGTTGGAGGAGGATGAAGAATCAGAACTAGGTTATAGATATTCAAAGAAGCAGTGGAAGAAGCAAGACAACAATAATATTAATGAGAAGGTCGTGGATCTGGAACCAAAAGCTGTCACAGAACAGACTGGGAAGAAAAAAGGCAAGAGAAAAAATAAAGCAACATGTTGCCCAGTAGATAAGGAGGAAGAAGACACCAAAAAGAGAACACCAAAGAAAAAGGAGAAATATGAAAATAAAAAACAGACCAAGAATTCCAAGTGTCCTAAAGCACAGATGTCAAAAGAGGGGATCACCCAGAAGTATACTCCTCAGAAAGGTTCTGCTAAAAACAGTCTTGTGAAAGTCAGAAGAAAAGGTGGGAGAGTCACAAGTTCAAAAGACAGCCCCAATTCCTCCTCGGAGTCTGAGTCTAGTTCTAGTCCGGATTCGAACAGTGATGATATCAGCAATGTCACATTGGAGGTTAGAAATTCTTCAGAGAAACTATCAACTGAGTTATCAAAAGAAGGACCTTTTACAAAAAATACAGTTGTAAACAAACTGGTTGCAAAAGCTGCCATTACCACCAGCAAAGGCAAGATCAGAGCCTCATCTTCTAGTTCAGATTCCGCTTCAGATTCAGAGGAGCAGTGCATTGTGTCCAAGAGCACTCCGGAGTATGCTACAGATTTCCTAAAGACAGTAGGCCTCTTTTCAGGAAGGGGCTGTCCAGGTCCAGGGCTGACAGTACAGACTCCAAGTTCCATAGGGTGGAAATTTTGGGAATCAAATACTAGCAAACAGGCTCCTGGTCCTCTTCCCAGTGTGTCTCTCCCCACCAGTTTAGGAAGAGGATGGGGGAGAGGAGAGGACCTTCTTTCTTGGAAGGGAACAAGAGGTCGGGGCATGCGAGGGAGAGGTCGAGGACGAGGGCATGCTGTTTCCTGTGTTTTAAATACTAGCACTGAATATCAGAAGCAGCAGCAATTAAATGAGATAGTAACAAATTCATCTACTATTATCCAGGTAAGTATTGTTTATTATGAGTTGACTACTTTTTTTCTCCATGGAGAAAGTAGTCATGTCACGTGGACTCCATGTCACGAGCTACCATTTTCTCACCAGTAATGAAGTCACGTGACTAATGCTGTTTTTCAGAATCCAGTAGCAATACACAAGAAGGACTATAGTCTATTACCACTGTTAGCAGCTGCCCCTCAAGTCGGAGAGAAGATTGCATTTAAGGTATATTTTAAAACAGCAACAATTACAACAAAAAAGGTTAGCTCCCCTTCCAAATAAACTTATTTAGCAAGTCATGTTGAATAATATTTATAAAAACCCTTTTCCCTGGAACACCAGTGTGACCAAAGTTTCATGGATGGGGCCTCAGACTGGTGAGGGTGGGCACTGCATGTTTTCTTCCAGGGGCAGGTTGGTAAGACAGAGGAGCCATGGGGATAAGAGAGGATAAGAGAGAGGGCTTGTGTACTCGTAGGTTTTTTTCTTCTTTTTTAGCTTTTGGAACTAACATCTGATTACTCTCCTGATGTCTCTGACTACAAGGTAAGCTTGTTTATTTAAAAATAATTAATTCAGCTGGATATGTTAGCATGTGCTTATAGTCCCAACTGCTCAGGAGGCTGAGGCAGAGACAGCTTTAGCCAGGAGTTCAGGGCCAGCATAGGCAACATAGTGAGACAAAGTTGTCAGTATACTATTAAGATTAAAGTTATATTTAATACTACTTGCTTGGATAAAATAGTTCTTTTTTTTTCATTAAAGTCATAAAGTAGAAGATAAAATTACTTATCAAAGTGTAAACTTATTAAAATTATCACTGTTGTTGGGAGTGGTGGCACACGCATGTAATCCCAGTGGCTCAGGCAGCTGAGGCAGGAGGATCTTGAGTTTAAACCTAGCCTTAGCAACTCAGTGAGGCCCTAAGCAATTCAGCAAAACCCTGTCTCTAAATAAAATATAAAAAAAGGGCTAGGGATGTGGCTCAGTGGCTAAGTGCCCTTGGGTTAAATCTCTGGTACAAAATAAAAAAAGAAAGATGAGTCCTATATTTTTCCATTCATCTTAAGTGCTGTTTTCTAGCTTGATCAGTTGATTTATTTAATTCTATTCCAAAGAAAATAGTCTCTCAAGGCCCTTGACCCCCACTGGACCTGGTTTTTAGAAGTACCTGTTGTCTATACTCAGAAAGCCTGGGAAGGTGCAGGAGGAACCGATTAGTTGGCCTTCCTGTGTGTCCCCAAAGACCACCCATTGTCTCATTGCCCACCAGCAACCATAGGGTAATGCCTCCTCTTGATGCATTTGAAAACCAGCTCCCAAATCTGAGGGACCTGGGAGGAAGGAAATTATAAACTTACCAGTAAGAAAGTACCTTCCTGTTTCAGCCTTAAGGGACTGTACTCAGCCCTTAGGATGGCCCCGACAGCATCAGAAATGGGAGCCGCACGACTTGGGTATGGGTGGCCTCTCCTATTAAAGGCTGTGATGGCCAGTCCCACCTGAGTACATCATCCTAGCCTATTTTTCTCCATTTCTCTTATTTAGTGACTTTTGATGACCTAGTGTATTCTTGGCCTTTCTTTAAGTTCTGTAGATGTCTACCATTTATGATTAAAATGTATCTGTTTTGCCTCTGAAATTATTTCAGTATACTCAGATAGAATGATTATAAATCTGCTGTTCTTATTTCCCCTACATGTTGATTTATTTTTAATGCTTTTTATTGAAATAGAATTCAAACACATAAAACTTGCTATTTTAACCATTTTAAAGTCTACAATTCAGTGGTTTATAGTATTTTCACAGTGTTTTATATGTTGATTTTTGACTTGGACTTTTATTTTTGAAAGGAAGGAAAAATATTAAGCCACAATCCAGAGACCCAGCAAGTAGATATAGAAATTCTCTCATCCTTACCTGGTGAGTCTTTTGGAAATGAAGTTGAAAATTTAGACTCTTCATATCTACAATGGCTTCTGAATAGCATTAATATACAGAGATGTTCTCTTTCTCAACTTAACCTAGCACCTGTAACTGGCTGTGTTCACCACTCTGTCCGCACCCCACACCTCTGGGGCCTGCACGCCTACTCCTTGGATTGTGTCTACTAAGATATATTGGATTGGTTCTCAAAGCTGATGGGCTACTTGTTCTTATTGTATTTGTGTGACTTCATAAAGGATTATATGAGCTGGTGAAAACTGATTTCAAAAAGAGTTATTTTTAGGAAACAATTGAATGCTGACTCAGGAGTATTACTGAAAAAAAATGCTATTAAATTATATATGAGTGGGTCAGCTATAAAAGATTGGGAAGACTTTGGTAAAAGTCTAAGAAGATTCTGTCCTTAGTTGCCTTGCAAAGTTTTGCATTCTTACATCACTTTAAAAAGAAAATCCTGGGCTGGGATTGTGGCTCAGTGGTCGAGCTCTTGCCTAGCATGTGTGAGGCACTGGGTTCGAATCTCAGCACCACATATAAACAAACAAATAAATGAATGAATAAAAAAAATAAAATCTAAAAAGAAAGAAAGAAAATCCCAAATTGGAACTTATAGACAATGTATTAGGGGTATGGTTTATAAAAGAAAGACATCTCTATTCAGTAAACTCAAGACCTACTTAGCTGTCTTTCAAAAAGATTGGCAAAATAAAGTGTCTACAATGTGTGTGTATACATATACTCTCACATTTTATTTTTTTGGTGGTGCTGGGAATCAAACCCAGGGTCTTGTGTGTCTTAGTTGAGTATTTGCACATTATTGTCACTGGTTCCCTGCTTTGTCCTGATTAATCCTACCTGTTTTGGTTCTGGATAAGACAGCTTTTATCACAAGGACCTTAACTTAGAATATGTTGCAGGGGTCCTTAACCAGAGAGCAGGGGAGTTGACTTTCTCTTTAGCAGACTCTAAAGCAATTAATTTTTTCCATTTTTTTTTTCCTTATACAAGTCAGTGAATGAAAGACTAAAAATTCCACCAAGCATGGTGGCACATAACTGTAATCCCAGCCACTTGGGATTTCGAGTTCAAAGCCAGCCTCAGCAAGAGCAAGGCTGAGCAACTCAGCGAGACCCTGTCTTAAAATAAAATCCAAAGTCAGGCTTGGGATGTGGCTCAGTGGTCAAGTGCCCCTGAGTTCAATCCCTGGTCGGAAAAAAAGTGGTAAAAAATTTAAAAGTCATCACCAAAAAATAATAATAATAATAATAGTAAAAAGGGCTGGGGATATAGCTCAGTGATAGAGCATCACTGGGATCAATATTCCGTATACCTAACTAATACCCCTCCCCCCCAAGAAAAGAAGATGACGATGACAATGACAGCTGGAAAGCCAGTGTAAGTTATATCTAAACATTTACTTAATATCACAAAGTGATTTTATTGAAAAACTCTTTTGACTGATTTCTGTCTATTGAACTTTTGAATCTTTCTTTCTCCCACTCCTTCCTCCCAGTACTAGGAACTGAACCCAGGGGCACTCCACCCCTGAGGCTTTTTTTTTTTTTTGACATAGGATCTTGCTAAAGTTGGTCTTGAACTTGTGATTCACCTTCGTCAGCCTCCTGAGCTGCTGGGATTATAGGCCTACGCCACCATGCCCCGTTTTTTCCATATTTTTAGTGGCACGTTTTAGTTGTACATAGTGATGGGATTTGTTGTTATATTTATGCATGCTATTTATTTATTTATTTATTTATTTATTGGTACTAGGAATTGAATTCAGGGGCACTCAACCACCGAGTCACATCCCCAGCCCTATTTTGTATTTTATTTAGAGACAGGTTCTCACTGAGTTGCTTAGCACCTTACCATTGCTGAGGTTGGCTTTGAACTCCAGATCCTCCTGTCTCAGCCTCCCAAGCTGCTGGGATTACAGGTGTGTGCCACCACGCCTGGCCTTGTGCATGCTATTTTTAATTTTGAGATAGGAGTTGCTAAGTTGCCAAGGCTGGCCTAAAACTTGCTATCCTCTTTCCTCAGTCTATAGCATTGCTGGGATTACAGGTGTAGGCCACGGGGCCCAGCTCTAGCTTTCTCCAGATGAGGTTTTATTTATAGAAATCCCTATTCTTAGGAATGATGGACAGAAGTTTGTGCATGGTCAAATTCCAGTGACACAAACCTAATCACTGCATGTCAAGTTGTTGACAATGACAATATCTAATTACAATTTTTCTTTTTTTTTTTTTTTTTTTTTTGGTGCATATGTATATGGTACTGGAGATTGAACCCAAGAGTACTGTACCACTGAGGTACATCCCCAGCCCTTTTAATTTTAATTTTTATTTTTAGACAGTGTCTTGCTAAGTTGCCCAGACTGATCTTGAACTTGTGATCCTCCTACCTCAACCTCCTGAGTCACTAGGGTTACAGGCATGTGCCACCATGCCTAGCTAGCACTTTTCTTTGGGGCATCAAGAAATGACTACTGCTAGGTGTGGTGGCACACACCTGTAATCTCAGCAGTTTAGCAAGGCCCTAAGCCACTTAGCATCTCCAAATAAAAAATTTAAAAGGGCTAGGGATATAGTTCAGTGGTAAAGTGCCTCTGCGTTCAATCCCTAATGCCAAAAAACAAAACAAACCAAACAACCTCCTGGGCACAGAGGCATATGTGATCCTAACAACTTGGGAAGCTGAGGCAGGAGGATCACAAGTTGGAGGCCAGCTTCAGATAGTTAGCAAAACCCTGTCTCAAAAAAATTAAAAGGGCGGGGAATGTAGCTCAATGGTAGAGTACCTCTAGTTTCAATTTCCAGTATTGGAAAACAAAAACAAAAAAACTACCTGTTCTTTAAGAAAAATGCAAGTAGTTCTCAATTTACATAGTTCTGATATACATGAATTTCAGTTACCATAGTTTGGTTAAATACTAAATAGTGTCTGTCCCCCAACAATACCAGGCAAGTATTTAGCATCAGTCCCCCATAATACTAGGTATGTTAACTGTAATTGCATTAAGTACTGATAGTTCTTCAGTCCACAAATCACTGTGTAAATAACAGATGTGCCTCCTGATGAGTGACGAGTCACGTCACTTCTTTCAGAGTCTGTCACTGACTGCTCACTGTACATCTAACATTCTGTACAGATGGCAGATGGTTGTGCTGCCTCCTTGTCTCTTAGTGTAAAACCTTGTACATTTTTAAAAAAACATTTTAAAAACATGAAAGTACAGTAGAGAAACAAAAGTGAGAATGCTGGATTCTCCCTCGCCCGCATCAGTGGAGTCACAGGTGAAGTGGCTGACTGGGGAAGTCCACTCTGCCACTTTTGTGAACTTCCTGACATACAGAAGGCGGCTGTGATGAAAAGTCCCAGCAGTGGCACCAGTGGAAAGCTTCACTAAGATTCCACACAGTGAAAAGGAAACGCTCAGAGCTACTTCTTGACATTAGAAGCTCTGAGAATAAAATGTTGAAAGCTGATCCACACCTCGAAGGGACTGTGATAGTCTGCCAGGCAGGGAAAAGCTGTGCCATCTGTATCATAAGCTATGTGACATGACGGCAGCATCGTTCCAACCGCCCTCGATAAGTTTCTTATGAAGAAATAAAGTGCTTTACCTTTCAGTTTCTAATGTTTGAAATAAAAATGGACTACAGAAATATTTTTACTAATTTTCATTTCTGTATATAGTGAGAGTCGTTGATGTTTTGATGACAATTTTGAAAAATTTCAAGACAACCATATTTTTTCCCGTTGATTGATAAGATAGTTTTGTCTCGCAGGGTTTTTTTCCCAATCCCATACTACTGTGGGAGCCTGAAACCTGCCTCTGTTTCCAAATAGTATGCATATGTGATTTCTGGGACTGAACGACATTGTATGTCACCTTGCCTTATTGAAACATATGAATTATCTTTTTGGATCATCTTGTGGTTCAATGTTCAGTTCTGGGATTAGTAGTGACAATTCCTCAAGCTCATTTTAAAGGAAAGGTTGTTGATGAACGGTCAGGAAGTGACCATGTTGTGGCACTGGTTCTCTAAGGGTCGTCTGTGAAGAGCGCTCCCTGATCTCTTGTACACCCAACTTGTATATCAGTTGGTGATTTATTTGTGACTGTTTCCCCAATGATAGAAATTCTCTATAGAGAAATATTTTAACTATTGAGGAATAACTTATTGTCTTTTATCCCTGCCTTCTGGTTTCAGCCTTGAAAGAACCTGGGAAATTTGATTTGGTTTATCACAATGAAAATGGAACCGAGATAGTTGAGTATGCTGTGACACAGGAGAGGAAGGTAGGCATGCTTCTCTTCTTGCCTTGTTTGGTCAGTCATTCTTTTTTTTTTTTTTGGTCATTTTCTTTTGACTGGTAATGTGGGATATGGAAGGTGACATTGTAGCTTCCCAAATTACTTATAATAAAACCATAAAGGGGCCGGGCACCATGGTGCACGCCTGTAATCCCCATGGTTCATAAGGATGAGACAGAAGGATTGCAAGTTCAAAGCCAGCCTCAGCAACAGCGAGGCACTAAGCAATTCAATGAGACCCTATCTCTAAATAAAATACAAAATAGTGCTGGGGATGTAGCTCAGTGGTTGAGTGCCCCTAAGTTCAATCCCCAGTACCAAAAAAAAAAACATAAAGGATCTAGGCCATGGGGGCAGCTAGTCTTTGCTGTTGAGCGGCAGTAACAAGTGCCAGGTGCTGAGTTGGTGCCATCATGTACCTCAAAGAGCCTATGTGATAAGATACTCAAACTTTTGTTTGATAGTGTGGAGTTGCTTACAAGCATAGTTATATAGGGATTCCAGTAGAAAAACTTTATTGGCATGTACAATTCATAAAAAGTGCACATAAATGTATAGCTTGAACAATTTTTACACATGATCATATCTACATAATCAGACTTAGATAAAGAAATAGAACATGGCTGGGCACAGTGGCGCACAGTTATAATCCCAGCAGCTTGGGAGGCTGAGGCAGGAGGATTGCGAGTTCAAAGTCAGCCTCAGCAACAGCAAGGCACTAAACAACTCAGTGAGACCCTGTCTCAATAAAATACAAAATAGGGCTGGGGATGTGGCTCAGTGGTCAAGTGCCCCTGAGTTCAATCCCCAGTACCAAAAAAAAAGAAGAAAGAAAGAAAGGAAGGAAGGAAGGAAGGAGGGAGGGAGGGAGGGAGGGAGGGAGGAAGACAGAAAGAAAGACAGAAGGAAGAAAGGAAGGAAGGGAGGGAGGGAGGGAATATGAACAGCCTCTAGGAGCTTCCATCCTGTGCCCTTGCGGTCACTCCTTACTCCCAGAATTTTTATACTGAAGAAAATGTTTTCTTAAGACACTTGTATTTGGAATGTTGTGAATCTTATTCTGGTAGTTTCACTATTGAAAATTCACATTTCCTCTGAAACGTTAAGTCGTGGAAGCACTAACCAAAGTATATGTTTTCCTGTGTTTTTTAGGTGGATGATACTTTTTTGTCCCAAAGTGCATTTTTAGGGTTGTGATAGGATTGGCAGTTTGGTCCAATCCCCTGTTCTTCTTTATCTGCAATATAAGAGCTCATTTTATTTATTTATTTTTCTTAAAATGTATTCCTGGAAGACTGCATTGGAAAATTGAACCTTGGAGGATTTTTCACTATGCATTTTTTTTTGGGGGGGTGGGGGCACTGGGGATTGAACCCAGGGGTGCTTAACTACTGAGCCACATTCACTATGCCCTTTTAAACAAAGTCTTGAAGTAGAATACAGAGCCAGTAATTACTGGGGTTTTAAAAAAAAATTTTTTTAGATGTTGATGGACTTTTATTTATTTATTTATATGCAGTACTGAGAATCGAACCCAGTGCCTCCCTCACATGCTAGGCTAGAGCTTCACCACTGAGCCACATCCCAGCTGTCATTACTGTTTTTGACACTAGATGGCTCTCAGTATACATCCATGTGGCCCAGCGTTAGTGATTACTTGTAAATTGTAGTTTTTGTTTTCAGGCAGCATAGAATAGGAACTACTGAGCTTCCAAGAAGGGCATGGGCAGCCTAGTGATACACAGTTGGCCACATCTAGCTCCCAAGAAATCTGCAGGCCACCTGTCCACAGGGGAAATCCTTCTGGCACTTGTAACCTCTTACTCCTTCTGCATTTTCTCAGTCCCTACAACCCCCAGTTGTAAACAAAAGATGAAATGTGTTTAATGTTAAACTTAAGCTACATTTTAGGGAAATGAATTCTTATGTCCTAATTAAACTCAATTTACTGGGACTCAAATTATTCCAGTTCTCAATCATCCTGCACAATAGAAATTTGCCTTCATTGAAGAGTCTGATGTCCATAGTCCAGTCCAAGTTCATCTAGTCTGGGAGCCCCTGGACCAAGGAAGATGCTCTTCAGTTTTAATTTGCATGTCATAGATATGTACTGAAACGTGTATTGATTGATTTGTAATGAGAAATATTATTCTACAAAGAATGAGATTAACCCTGAATGGTGGGATCTTGACTAACTTAAATTTTCTTTTTTTTTTGGTACTGGGAATTGAACTCAGGGGCACTCGATTACTGAGCCACACCCCAGCCCTATTTTGTATTTTATTTAGAGACAGGATCTCACTGAGTTGCTCAGTGCCTCACCATTGCTGAGGCTGGCTTTGAACTTGATCCTCCTGTCTTGACCTCCCAAACTGCTGGAATTACTTAAATTTTTTAACTTACTAAATCCTATATGACCTCAAAATGAAATGCTTAAACTATTTTGTATTTTTCCTCAGATCACGGTTTTTTGGAGAGAGTTGATTGATCCAAGACTGATTCTTGAATCTCCAAGTACCACCTCAAGTATAGAACATGTCTGAGGATGACCTTTCCACCTCATAGTTTATAAATGTCTTTTTTGTGAAAGTGACTATAACCTGAACTTTTTTTTTTTTTTTAAAGAGCATTTGAAAGTCTGGATTTTTTGTTATCTTCATTTGCCTGCATAGGGGAAAAAAAAAAATCTACCTCATCATTTAAAATAATATGGGTGGTTTGTAGACCCCCTGATTTTTCTTCAAGTTGATTTCAGTTAACAAAAGTTAGAACTTGACATTCCCTGCAGACATTGTTATATCCCGATAGTCTGGTTTCTTCTCATTTTCTATTTTTTTGACCATTGAGTAGTGATTGTCAGTAGGAGTTTATAATACCAAGTACAAGAATGTGCTGTGTATCTTGTTTCAATAAATTTCATTAAGTAACATTTTAAAATATTAAAGCATGTTGCTTGAAATTTTTTAACATTTGAGTTGTTCCATTAAACATGGAGCATCTTATAAATTTCAAGTATGTTATACTTGAAATTGCCAAGAGTTAACAGATAGTTGGGTTTGTTGCAGACAGTGGGTTCAAGAATCCTTTCACATTTTCCTAATTTAAAAATTAAGGATTCTCAGGACCCTCTGTAAGAGCAGTGTGCCTGGAGGAGAACTGTGTTACCTTGGGTAGGGGATTTGCTGTGGGACTTAAGACCACGGAACATGTTATCTTGCTACAAGATGCCAGGCACCTGCTCAGTGGGTTGGAGTGAGGATCTTGAACAGAAACTTCCTTTTTTTTTCCTGTTATTACTCAATACAAAGCAAAAATGGCTAAATATATACTGTGAAAAAGGCTTTCTTCTAACAAAAGATCAGATCCTCCTTCAGCTTTGCAAATTTTTAAATAAAATCATATTGAACATAATGTCCATGTTGAGTCGTGTTTAGTTGAATATTGCAAATTACTGTCTTGGTTAAGTAATGTAAGACATTGCACTTTTCCATAACAACATTTGCCTTCATCAAAGAGTCTGATGTTGCATAGTCCATCCAAGTTCATCCCATCTGGGAGCCACTGGATCATGCAAATTAAAATTTGCATGACATGGATGTGTATTGAAGTGTGTATTTATTGATTGTAATAAGAAATATTACTCTAGAAAGAGTGAGTTTAACCCTGAGTGGTGGGATCTTGGCAGTGGGGTTCTTCATAATATAATTTCTTTCCAGGGTTTGGAAAACAAATTAAGATAAATAATCAATATTAATTGGATCAAAGAGAAGTGTTGATGTCAGGGAATATTTTCAAATTTTAATCAGTTTGAGTTGCCTTTTTCCTCTATAGTGATGGGTAGAGTCCACTAGAAAGTTGATGGTATCAATTTAGGATTCCTGACCAGCTTTGGGAGAAATAAAATATGATAGGTTAGAAAAATAAGTGCTTCACACCCAAAGAATTTAAGTTTGCTTTTTGAAATTTTTGTTTCATTTACATACAGTTGTGTATGTATTGGAACACTATGTAAAATGTACATGTGTTTTTTACTACTTGAAACCAGAGATTTCATCATCATGTGATTCTCCAACTTGGAAGCTCTAAACTATACCACTTACCCAGGAGTGAGAGAGGAAAGGGGAGATGAGAAGGAAAGTACCAGGTACTGGCCACGGAGCAGATCTTTGATTGCTGCTTGGATTAGTCATCTTTACATCACTGGGACAAGAACAACTTAGAGAAGGAAACTTTTATTTTGGCTCATGGTTTCAGAGGTTCAGTCCTTGGTGGGCCAACTCCAAAGCTTTGAGGGAGGCAGAACATCATGGAGGAACTCATTGCAAAGGAAAGCAGCTCTGGCCATGAAGGCCAGGAAGCAAAGAGCTCTGCTCACCAGGGACAAAATATGAATCCCAAGGCACACCCCACTGACCTGCTTCCTCCAGACACACCCTATCTGCCTAGAGTTACTACCCAATTGATTCATTCAAGTGGATTAATCCACTGATTAGGTTACAGCTCTCAAAATCTGATTGTTTCATCTCTGAACATTCTTGCATTGTCTCACATATGAGCTTTTAGGGGAGCTCTCATATTCAAACTCCTGGGCTTGATACTCCAGAGGGACCATTCTAAATGAGGAAAGTAGTACTCAGATGCCAGCTTTGTTATTATAGAATTATTCCAGGGTTTAAAGTAGCAACTCATCTAACTCCTCTCAACTCAGTGTTGAATAACTTGCCAACTACCACCCAATTAGCAGAGGGTGTATTAATCAAGGTACCTGTGATAAGGTACCTGGAATAGACTGTTTGTTCAATCCTCAACAATAGACAACCTAAAAGGAGGAAAGATGGATTTTGGCTCATGGTTTCAGTTCATGGTCACTTGACTCTATTGGTTTGGGCCTGTGGCAAGGCAGAACATCTTGTCAGTGGGAGCCTGTGGTAAAGGAAGCTACTTTGTGGCAGCCAGGGAGAAAAGAGAGAGGAAGGGACCAGGATTCCAGTATCCCTATAAGGGCATGCTCCCAATGACTTGACTTTCCACCCAACAGTGGTTCCACCACCTCTCAATAGTACTTTCAACTGGGGACCAAGCTTTCCACACATAGACTTTTGGGGACATTTAAGATCCAAACTACATTATGCTTTGGAGAGTTTATTGTAATTTTAGAACAATATTATTGACCCCAGGATGCTTTTGTAGCTGATCTTAAAGTGGCTCTGTCCTAGGCTGGGGATATTGCTCAGTTGGTAGAGTGCTTGCCTTGCATGCACAAGGCCCTAGGTTCAATCCCCAGCAACACACACACACACACACACACACACACACACACACACACAGAGTCAGCTACAGCCCACCTGCCTCACATTTCCCACTCTGCTGCCATTATCCTTGAGAACATAAATCTGACATTCTCTGCCCCTGTGGTTCAGTTTTGACCATCTTCAGATTGTCTCCTCACCATGGACTTCTAGACTGCTTTGATTCTGTATTAAGATGACTCTGGAGCAGCCACTATGGTGAATGCGTGTAGTGCCAGCTATTTGAAAGGATGAGGTAGGGAGATTGCTTGAGCCCAGGAGTTTGAGGCTAGCCTGTGCAACATAGTGAGACCCTTTCTAAAAAATGGAGGGAAGGAAAGAAACTGACCCTTGATCAGTCTGATGCCCAATTGGGTCTTCTTTCTTTTTGTGAAGCCCTCCAGCACTCCTACTCCATGTGTATCACCAATATAGTTGGTCTCTGCTAGCCCTGTCTTGGACTCCATGGTGGTAACTTAATTTGTAGCAGTCCCCCCCTAATCTCTGGAGAATATAAGACTTCTAATGGATGCTTGAAACCATGGATGGTGACAAACCCTACTTGTACTATCTTTATTCCTATCTTCATGAACTTTCACCTTTTCACTTAAACTGTATCTCTTTGGCATGCACAAATTGTCAGCATCACTACTTTTGAACTTCAGTGCCATTATTAAGTTAAATAAGACTTGTTTGAACACAAGCACAAGCACTGTGATACTGTGACAGTGAAGATAGGCACAAAAATTCTCTACAAAGCTGGGCACAGTGACACATGCCTGTAATTCCTGCAACTCAGGAGGCTGAGGCAGGAGGACCTAAAATTTAAAGCCAGCCTCAGTAATATAGTGAGGCTCTAAGCATATTAGTAAGACCCTGTCTCAAAATAAAATATAAAAAGGGATGGGGATGTGGCTCAATGGTTGAGTCTCCCCAAAAAATTAGCAAATTTTTGGGGAGGTTGAGCCTCCCCCAAAAAATAGCAAATCAAATCCAGCAATGTGTAAAATGATAATAATTAAAATAAAATATGAGAAGATAATAAATTCCTGGATTTATTCCAGGAATGCATGATTGGTTTAACATTCAATTTGTGTAACTCACCATATTAACCAAATAAAGAAGAACCTATGAATAGTGTTTAAAAATAAATGTTTGGATAAATAAGAGCACCTCAATGAAAAATTGATCATGATAGTTACAGAAAAAAATAACTGTTAGAACTCTTTGCACTCATTGTAAGCACATAGACGCACAAATGATGGAGGTAGACGATGGGAAGCAAACCTCGGCTCAGCAAGCTTTTCTTTATTCGGTATTCAGTAAGCTAGTCAATCGGTAGAACCCTGGTGTAGTTCATTTTCAGGGCAGAAAATGGCGGCAGGCTGAAGCAAGGGTCTGGGTTACTTAGGCTTAATTTAGGGTGGAACAGGAGGTTAGTTCCTGGGGTTCATTGTATTGGGGTAGGCTGATCCCTTAGGGTTGGGCAGGAGTGTGAACAGGGAATTTGGGGGGCGTTATTGTATTAGGATCAGCTGACCCATTGTGGTTGGGGGTCAGGTGCATATTCCTTTGTGTTCCTTAATTCTGGCTGAGGCCTGGGATTTTAAATGACCAAAACTTCCATTTTACCCCAGACAAGGCAAACGGGGGAAGAGCAGCAGATGGAGGAAATGTCCTTGGACTTATTCTTCATATCCTTCACTTAGGGCTGAGAATAAATTTGATTTTAAATTTCATGCGGCAGCTGAGTGGGATGATGCATGCCTATAATCCCAGCAATTTGGGATGTTGAGGCAGGAATAACCCAAGTTTAAGGCCAGCCTGGAAACTTGGCAAGATTCTATCTCAAAACAAAAAATAAAAAGGGCTGGGGATTAGCTCAGTGGTAGTCTGAGTAGTAGTAGCTTCAGGGTTCAATCCCCAGAACTGCAAAATAAACAGATAGATAAATAAATAAATTTATTTCATGGGGGTGGGGGCATGGACACCATAGTCTTTTTCCATACATACAGAATAAAAGTCAACAGACTAGACCTGGACATCTGGATGTCTAATGACCATTAGACATCTCTGATCATCTTTTTGTGTGTGTGCTGATGATGGAACCCAGGGCCTTATGCATGTTTATATCACACGCTGTATCACTGAGCTACACCCCTCCAGTCCCTTTGGCCATCTTTTAAATGGAAACAAGAACCACTATCCTTCATGGAAGGTTGACGGATCAGCTATGCCTTTTGCTCAGCAGCAGAGCAGGAATCAATCGAAGGGCTCACCTTCTGGGTAGAAAATGGTGTCCATTACAGGGAAGATATAGGTTTACATAGGTTACATTGGGTGGGGGGGTCTTAGTCCTTGAAGACTTTAACAGGATTGGGGCAAAAGGTTGCAAACATCTGGAACTTGTTTCTACTGGGCATGCTTTTTTTTGTCTGTCTGTTTGTTGGTACTCGAGATTGAACTCAGGGACACTCAACTACTGAGTCACATCCCCAGCCCTATTTTGTATTTTATTTAGGGACCCGGTCTAACTGAGTTGCTTAACACCTCACTCTTGATGAGGCTGGCTTTGAACTTATGATCCTCAGCCTTTGGAGCTGCTGGGATTACAGGCATGCGCCCCTTACTGCACCTGGCTTGGTTTTTAATTAGTGTTTTTACAGGCAGAGTGGAGGTTTCAGGATTCGGAGTCCTGTTCATCTGACCTCCAGGGGTCACTATGTTGACGTGGGGACAAGATTAATGCGTGGTTTCACTGTTATGTCACTGAGAAATGGTTTATTGGAAGGATCAAAACTTTGGCTTCCATCTCCCTCTCTCCTTCTGGATCACACACTGTCTTGGGGGATTTATTAATTCCGTATCCTTCAGTGGGTGCTACAACCACACCCACAATCGGACCTTAAATTTTATGATAATGGCATTGGTGGAAATAGTAGGCAAATTATATTTGCAGGAAAATGAGATTGTTTACTCCACCTAGTTTTCCCAACTTCCAAATACAGAATGGAGTGGGAATCCAGTAAGGATCATTCTCCATCTGCTGGGTGGGATCATAAAGTTTCCATGTGACCAATAGGGTCACATTTAATTTCAGGATGTTGTGCCACTGAAATTACTCATGATAAACAAACACACCCTCCAGCCCAGGGACAGTCCCCGCGCCTCCATAGGCTCCCCATTCCCGCCTACATCAGTGTGCTTTGCCTGAATTTCATTTTGTTTTTACAATGTCTCCACAAAAAGGTATTACTGGGCTCTCTGTCTTGCAGATGAGGAACCTATACTCCTGGAAGGAACTGACCTCCCACTACATTCCCCTCTTACTACTTGGTCCTCAGTGTTCTCCCTGTATTAAAAGGCTAGGCTTCCTGGTCAAGGTGGCGCGCACACCTGATTCCAGTGGCTTGGGAGGCTAAGGAAGGAGGATTCAAGTTCAAAGCCAGCCTCAGCAATTTAGCAAGGCCTTAAGCAACTTAGAAAGACCCTATTGAGACAGGGCAAAGGACAGAAAGCGTAGAAAATGAATGATTGGGTTGGGAAGATGGGAACTAATTCAAAAGTAAGTAGAATACCTGCAGAACTCTTGCCCCTCCTTGCAACCAGTTGCCAAGTTCACCTCAGCCTCCAAGGGACTGATGGTTCCTCCCAGCAAGGAGTTGCTAACGAATTCCCCTGGGTGGCTCCTTTTCTGACTTCTTTGGCAGGTGTGGAAAATAGGGAGAGGTACCCACTGGGCAGCTCCTTTCCCGCACTTTAGTTATGTAGGCAAGATTAGAGAAGGAGGGGGCATGAGAAGAAAGGAAACCTAAAATCTGTGAAGGGGCACAGCACCCCCACTCCCTAAGGAACCAGCTCTGGACACGCCCCCACCATCAGGAGTCAGAGTCTCCCCCACCCCCCTCCCTCTCCAGAGTCTCATCCGCCTCCCCTCCACCTCCCTCTCCTTCTCCCTGTTCTGTTTCTTAAATAAAATTTACTTTTTGCTCTTGCATTGGTGTTTCTCTGGTGTTGGGAACGAGGACCAGATCCTGATTTTCAAGACAATGTCACTATTTCAAAATTAAAAATAAATAAAAAGGTCTGGGGATGTGGCTTAGCACCACTGGGTTCAGTTTCTGATTTAAAAGAGGGGGGGGGAGAGAGAGAGAGAGAGAGGACTAGCGTTTATTCTTTAAGCAGTCAACCTGTTGAATGCCTGTTGCATAGTAGGTCTTGGTAAATGTTTACCCCATGGAATTGAATACAGCCCGACCCTCCTAGTTAGTTTCATTTTCTAATAAGCCTTTCTTAATCTTTCAGCTGGGAAAGAGCATTCCACATTCTGGCCTGAGTCACCAAAGCTATCTCTCCCACGTAACTAGGCTAGAGGTAGATTTTATAGTGTTTATTTCCTGGAAACTGCTGCACTCCTCCCTTGGGAGGTAGCCTGTTACAGAAGGAAATGTTTGACTTTTGAAAACAGAGGCTGGTGCCAATAGCCATTGTTTTAGGCAAGTTATTTACTTCTTGTAAACCTCAGTTTTCTCATTTGTATTATTGAATGAGGATAAAATAATAGATAGTAAAAGGACCAGGCAATCAGGATAAAGGGCCTCATTCAACCACAGCTGGAGGCTAACTGGTAGATAGCACCTTCAAGGCCTATTTCAAATATAAAAGATCTTGAGGCTTACCTGTGGGAACACCTCCAGCTAACTCCTTTGTCCCAGAGGTGGAAAATGGAAGACCGGGGTGAACCTGGATGGAAGTGAACCTGGATGGTAGCCCCGAGCCTTTTCAATTTCTATTTTACAAAAGAATCTGCTCCATACTCTGCCCCAGAACCATATATAAACTCCTGAGCTGGCATACCAGAATGTTTTTTTTCTGCTATCAGGTCCCTCTCCCACATGGTGGGAGTTGTCTCACTTAAATAAATCCTGCTCTGTTTACTCTTCCCTTCCGTGATTTGTCCATGGATTTTATTCTTCAAGAACCCAGGGGAAGGGCCGGGGTGATGGCTCAGCGGTAGAGCGCTTGCCTAGCACATATGAGACCCTGGGTTCGATCCTCAGCTCCACATAAAAATAAATGAATAAAGAATCCAGGGGAAATTGGCATCTTGGAGAATGGAGTCTCATCTCAGAACTCCGGCTTCATCATGAGATAATTTATCTGCCTAGAAGATTTATTATGAGACTCAAATGAGATACTGTGCTTTTTGGGCTGAGTTGTGGCTCAGTGTAGAGCGCTTGCCTAGCACAAAAGAGGCACTGGGCTGGATCCCCAGCACCACATTAAAAAAAAAAAATCTAAATGAGATACTGTGCTTTTATCTTAATTTCCTAGTCCCTCATACTACTGTCTTCTTCCTCTCCATGCAGACAAGATGGACAAGGAAATATGAACAAGAGTAAGTGGGGTAAGGGTGCTGGGGAATACCTGACAAGAATTAGGGGAACCAAGCAGTTAGTGTAGAGATCAGCAGTCCTGAGCTAGGGTCCCAGCCCTGCTTTGCAAAAGTATGTAACTCTCCTCTGTAGAATGGACATAACGACACCATCTTGCAGGTTTGTAAGGATTTTAGGAGAGAGTAGATGTGACTTTTCCAGCACCTAGTAGGTCCCCCATAAATAGTAGTTACTATAAGATCAGGCAAGGTGGGCAGCTACCAAAGGAGGCAGATTTTATTAAAAGGCCTCGGAATGAGGCTTTATTGAGATATCACTTGGGATGGAACTCTATCAGAGTGAACTGGAGAAGGGTCTGAAGAGAAATCGCTTGGGAGTTCGACCAGACTGGACTTTTATGGGGCTTACAGCAGGAAGGGAAGGTCTTGGGACAGGAAAAGGTGTTTCTGGAGTCCCTTGTCCCGAGTAGGTCAGGGGAGCTTGGCTGAACTCCAGGATTGGCCAGGGGGTCCTGATGATTGACAGGCATTAGTCAGGAGATCCCACTGATTGACAGGCATTTCTGTTGGCGCCTGAAACATCTGTTTCTTTTCCATGGGGTCTGCTTTGTTCTAAGTCACCGCCACCGACCTGACATTCTGGGCTTAGTCTAAGACATTTACCTTTTCCTTGTTTTTTGCTGTTAATCCTTTCATCCATTTAAAACACCAGCTAGGGGCTGGAGATAATAGCTCAGTTGGTAGAGTGCTTGACTCGCGCATGCACAAGGCCCTGGGTTCAATCCCCAGCACTGCCACAAAAACAAACAAAACACCAGCTAACTCTTCCCACTTTCTCTTGGCCCCACCCCCTCTTGAACATAGTAGCTTCCTGTTTGTCCACAATTCCTACACCCAGGCAGGGGAGGGGGGAGCTAAAACATTAAGGAAATAATTCTTAACTATTGTAAGAAAACATATTTAGATTCGTGTGTGTGTGTGTGTGTGTGTGTGTGTGTGTAAAAGACATAATATTTGTTAGACGTGGGTGTCTATAAATCCCAAGAGAGCAAAAATGGGGATCTCATTCAGTGGAAGTCTCCGTGTGTGATTATGGCTCCATCAGGGCTCAGATCCTGGGATGAGGAAAGAGGAAGGAAAAATAAATAAATAATAAAATAAATAAAAATAAATAAAAACAGAAAGAAAAGGACTGGGTCATTTAGCAGCTCCTACAATTACTCTTTCTAAAGGCATGCCTGAAAAAGACCAAGCTTGCTCTCGAGGGTGTGGGAGCGGGTGGGGACACCCCAGGTCGCCCTCGAGTTCTCACAGGGGGCGACTTGCCCCAAGTGCCAGGTTGAGCGCAAGCTGGGCTGGATCTCACGGTTCACTCACGTCGGTTCATCCAGAGTGGTCACAGGAAAGGACATGGTGGTCGTCGGGAGGTCCCCAAGCCTCTAGGGCTAAGCGAAACCCAGCGCCCCGCCCTCACCCCGCCCGAGGCAGGACTTCAAACCTCCGGGACCGCTGCGGAGTCAGCTAGACGGCCACTCCCACAGCTGCCACCTCTGGCTCTCCAGAGGGGACCCCCGCGGGGCCTGCCCTTGCGCCCCACGTGACTTCCTGAAAGCCTAGGGCACCGCCTCTCTCCAACTTAGTTTCGTTTCCTCGGCTGCCTGGGGACGGTCGTGCATCGGTCCCCTGCCGTGCTAGCGTGTCTCATCCGGTGTCCCCAGGAGCGCCATGGCGGAGCTGTTCCTGCTGGCGGAGGAGCTGTCGTGCTCCATCTGCCTGGAGCTCTTCAAGGAGCCGGTCACCACCCCGTGTGGCCACAACTTTTGCCGATCGTGCCTGGACGAGACGTGGGCTGTCCAGGGCAAGCCGTACCGGTGCCCCCAGTGCCGCGCCGTGTCCCCGTCGCTCCCGGAGTTGCGAAAGAACACGGTGCTGTGCGCGGTGGTGGACCAGTACCTACAGGCCGAGCTGGAGCAGGCGCCCGTGGCCGACTGGACGCCACTTTCCCCTCCCGAGGTCCCCAGTCCCGCCATCCAGGTGTTCTGTGACCACTGCCTGAAAGCGGAGGCCGTGAAGACCTGCCTGGTGTGCATGGCCTCCTTCTGTCCGGAGCACTTACGGCCACACCTCGAGAGTCCTGCCTTCCAAGACCACCAGTTGCAGCTGCCGGTGCAAAACCTGCTGAAACGAAAATGTTCTCGGCACAACCGCCTGCGGGACCTGTTCTGCCCCACACATGGCGAGTGTATCTGCCACGTCTGCCTGGTGGACCACAAGACCTGCTCTCCGGTCGCCCTGAGCCAGGCCAGCACCGATCTGCAGGTAGGGTATGGTCGAGGAGGATGCTTAGAGCAGCCTGGGCCTGCTGGGTTGTGGAGAGGGGCCACTGAGGGCATCTCTGCCATGCCACTGGGTCTTCTGAGGAGATATCTGGGTTTGCTAGTTCACAGCCATCTGGGTGACAGGCCACCTAGGCAGGTGTGTGTCCCCAGTGAGGGAGCTGGGAAATTATGTCGCCCTTCCCCTTATCCTTTGTGGCCATCCCTCTGTTGCTCCCCCACAGAACAGTTTTACAGAGGAACAATTGAAGTTACAGGTGCGGTCACTTGTGCTGATCTGATGGTTTTTCTTAAGGGTTCTGAGGGTCAAAGAGGACCCTGGAGGTTCCCTCATTAAATGCTGGCAACCCCTAGGAGGTGTGTATTATTTGTTCCATTTCACAGATCAGGCAGCTGAGGTCCAGAGAAGTTAACTTAGCAAAGCCAGTGTAGCAAAGTTGCCGAGCCAGCTGGGACCCAGATTGGTTTGATACACCATTTGCAGTTTTTCCCTGGGGACTAGAATTCCAATCTCTATAGAGTTCAGAGCGGGGGAACATTCTGGGAGGCTTGAGGTCATATAAGCAAAAGTCTTGTTGGGATGGAGAGTTCTGGTGGTCAGGGAGGGTGAACGGTGTCTCAGGAAGCCCCAAATTAGAGCCACTTGGAGAGCCAGTGCTCTTACACTATGGTGTCCATCCTGCTGTGTGACTTTGAGTGTGGAATTTGTCCCCAGACCTGCGTCCTCGCTGGTAAAGGGAGGAGGAACATGGTGGACTCCTAAAGGGCCTCTCAGGTCTATGATGTTTTTAGTGGTTTGGGAAATCATAGGTTCCCCTTGTGGACTCAAAAGCAGAAGCTGAAGAAGTGTGAACAAACTTTTGTTATATCAAACTAAGCCCTGAAGTGTGGCCCGATTTCATCTCATTCTCCCAGCGCTGTCAGGGAGAACAAGGCCTGTCCTGGGCTGTCCAAGGAGGTTTGAGACTGGGCGAAGCCTAGAAGGTGTGCAGTGCCAGGACTAAGGCTCCCTTAGGCCACAGCCCTGCCCTGGCCTTGCTTGTCACTCTGGGTCTGAATGGGGGCTTCTTTGGGCTTTTTCCCTAGGTCTTAGCAACTGGACCTCAAGGTATGTCTTTTGAATTGACCTCCCTTCTGGTACCACCAATTCAAGTTATAGATACCTGAGTCTCCACCTGTTCCCGGAAAGAACCTGCCCAGTCCTTGGAGCCAGGAGCCCTGTTTTGCTCCAGAGATGAGCAATTTGGGACAAGTCGCTGCAGATCTGAGCTTTGCTTCCTCATCTGCCAAATGGAATTGATAGCATTCCCTGTCCACCCTCAAGGGGAGCTTGAGGCTCCCCAGCTGGGAAATGATAAAAAGGGAACTGGAAATGCTAGGCTCGGAAAGTTATCGTGAGGGAGGCAGTCCATAAAATGATTTACTGCAGAAAACTCCATACATACTCTTACCATTTCTGTGACTCAGGACTGGGTAGAGGGGAGCATGCTGGGTGGCAGGGAAACCCCTGCATAACAGGTTGCCCAGCTGGTCTTTCCAAGGTTCGTGAGCTTATTGGTGCAGCCTGGTTCTGAAGAGGCACTTTTAGGAGGCAGAAAGCAAGTAGGGGCAGGAGGGCTTCTCAGCCTGGCTACAGCTACTGCTCCCTTTTAGCCTTCGAGACCCTGAGTTGGAGTCTGACTCAGCTTTATGCGCCAAACATATATGCTTGGCTTTTTTTTTTTTTAATCCCTAAAACAGGATTCCCTGCCATTTCCCACCCCCAAGTCTCTCTCTCTCTCTCTCTCTCTCTCTCTCTCTTTTATTACTGGGAATTGAACCCTAGGGCACTTAACCACTGAGTCACATCCCCAGCTCTTTTTTATCTTTTTTTTTTTTTTTTTT